ATTTAAAAATTGTCAAAGTTGAAATTTATAATAAAAACATAATAAGTGGACTCAAACTTTTGGAAGCAACTGTATAATAAACAATAAAGGGCAAAAAGTTTTGTCCCAAACTGTACATAAAATACAATTAATTATTAATCACATGAGCACATGACTCTTCCTATCTCACTAATCACGTGATTAAACTTTTAGCTACTGGAAAATAAATTTATTTGAAAATACTTATTTAATTAATAAATTTTGTTAAATTCATCGATTGCCGAAAGGCTAGTTACCTTATTCATTGTAAACATGAGGAGAATGAAAACAGTTCATATATCAAACCTTTTCATTACACATAAAAAGAAATTATCATAATAGCATGTTGCTTTACAAAATGGAGAAGTAATTTTAATCCATCATTTTATTTAGTTTTAAGAATACACAGATCCAATTTCATGCATCAGATCATATCTTATAATTTAGGCTTTGTTGTTTCCATCCAAGCAAATTCCTATACTCAAAAAAAAAAAAAAATTAATGATACATATTCCACAATTGTGACAATAAAAAAACTATTTCCTACCAATTTTTTTTTGCCTCCTGGTTGTATCATAACGTTAATAATCACACATTTGTTTTCTTCCTTCAATGCATCATCAAGAGCATCACCCAATTCTTTAGGTGTTCTCACAAAGTACCCTTTACCCCCAGTAGCATCAGCAATTAAATCGTATCTAATATCTGGCAATAATGCGGTCGATGGCAAATTATTTACCGGTGTTATATTATATGCTTGTGTGTCAAGGCCATGATATATGCCGTTATTATTGATTATAATAATAATAAGTGGCAAATTTGCTCGTACTGCCGTTTCGATTTCCATAGCGCTGCCGGAATTAATAATCGTAAGACTTAAAAGTAGCTGTTTGTTTTTTTTTAACTGATCAATTATTCACCTAAATCCAAACGCAGAATCCCCTACAATGCCCACGACACGTTTGTTCGGATAATATACTCTAGCTGGATTACGCATATATAAAATGCTGGTAAGATCAATGATATTAAAACGCGTTTCAACTTTATAATAACATACCGGCAATAGCGAACCCCATTCCAACTCCCATAGTTGCTAAAGTGCCTGTTACATATCAAGGTTAATACGCTGATCATATAATGATAAATTATGTCATACCTTACCTGCATCCAACCGGCATCGAGGTTCGTGTACGTCAAAAATTGATCTTGCAATATCCATTGTATTTGCTCCTTCACTAACAAATACCACATCTTTTGAGGGTAACCTCTTTTTAATTTCCCAAAAAGCTCGATGATAACTCATAGGGATGGTGGTATCTTCAAATTTTTTATTATTAGAATTTACATTTTTAGTTATTTGTTGCTTTAAGGATTGAAGGTAGTTTGAGGTCGAAGGATACTTGAAAGATAATGGAAAAATAGAAAGCAGCTGCGAAACAACGAGAGGCAAATGACCCAACAAGGCCACGTGTATTCGGGAATTATTAAAATGTTCCTCGGGAAATATGTCAACTTGGATAAACTTTACGCTATCATTGAATTTTGGTGGAAGCCCAAAATGCAGCATCCAGTTAAGTCTCGCACCCAAAAGCAGTACAACATCTGCATCAGCTATCGCCTTTGACCGTGCTGCTGCAACACATAATGGATGAGTATCTGAAATCACTCCTTTACCCATTGGAGTTGGAAGAAAAGGAATGCCAGTCTTTTCGACAAGTTGATTAATCTCTTTCTCGGCTCGTGCATACGACGCGCCTTTCCCAATAATTATCAATGGACTTTTGGCGTTTTGGATTAGTGTGATTGCCTTTTCCACACTCAGAGGATCGGCTAGAGATTTAGGAGAGTCCGGCATAAGTTTTGAAAGACTAAATGATTCTTGAGATAAAGACCCTTGAATAAAGTTTGCTGGGAGATCCACATAGACAGGTCCTGGTCGACCACTTATGGAAGTTTTAATCGCTTTATATATTACATTCGGAATTTGGGAAATGGAAGAAGGCCTCGAAGAGTATTTTGCATATGGCTTACAAAGAGTCACTTGATCTAATTCTTGAAATGCACCCATCCCTTCTTGATATGTATCCGAAGATCCACCAATCATCAGTAATGGCCAACAATTGACCTGAGCATTCACTATGCCTGCCATTGCGTGCACGACTCCAGGACCAGATACGACCAAGCATACCTAAAATTTTGAACTTGTAAATATATTAAACTCTTTAATAATTTGGTCATACTCTCAAAAACTCACGCCGGGACGGTTAGAGAGAAATCCTTAATTTTTATGAATAATTTATATTTCAGAATCAGTAAATTAGTTATAGGCTATTATAAAACTTAATACCATAGGCTCCTGCTGCATAGCTAAGCGATTGTTCATTTCTAAATCCAATAAATTTTATTCCTTCGGCAATTATTGCCTCAGCTACCTATTATTAATAGAACACGTGAATAAATAATTTGATATAGTTCCCTCGCCTTTTATGCTCACCTCAACTACCGGAATTCCAACTATTCCAAAAACAACATCAACCCCCTGCTCTTTCAGCACCTTTGCTACAATTTCCGAACCTGTATATGTTTTCGAAGTTTTTGACATATAATTAAAAGAAAATGTTAATGAGTGACCTTTTATCAACAAGAGATCATCGACTTAATATGCTAATTTTTTCATTAATAATTTGATCAGAATTAGGCTTAATTTGGGCCGAAATTCTATATAACAATATTGGCGTTAATAATTTGACCAGAATTAAGCCTAATTCGGATCGAAATTCTATATAATTTAATCGTGTCACTAGTTATTTGATTGAAAATTGATGAATCTTTTTCAATCAGAAAATCAAATTCAACAATAAATTTATAAAAATACTTATATAAAAACAAATTTGATAAAAAATGATTATTTTTTTTAAATCTTTTGTCAAATTATGTATTTATGCTTTATTATACTTTATATTATAAAATGTATATTAAAGCTAAATCTTTATTTAATCTACTCATCTTTATTTTAAAATTTATTAAAATTCTAAGTGTAACTTCAGAAGTGATTTATTGCTTCATTAGTAGTTTAGATAAAGATCTTTTCAACTGTTAACTTTATTATTTATAGATTATTATTGTAAATTACTTTTTTAGATTTTAATAATGCTTAAATTCAATTATTTTATTTTGTATATTACACTTTTAGTTAAAATTTACTTAAGACTTTTATATTCTAAGTTTTTTTTTCAGTAATAATTTTTTTTTTGATGAAGATATAGTTTTTTTATTAAAAATATATAAGATTTCTTTATCTTGACTTTTTTATGAATCTTCTATAATTATTTTTATTCAATTATTATTTTATATCTCTTGTTTCAAATTAATTTATGAACTTGATTACAGATTCTTTTTTATATCTTTGTTATCTATATTCTTGCTATTTTTTCCATGCATTTTTCATGATATTTCAGATTTACTATTTCTTGAATAAAGATGGGTCCCTAAAGGGTGACAGAAATAAAAATCAAATATCATTTATTAGAAAATATTAAAATTTTTAAAATAATAACTATTAAAAAACTATTTACGATTGTTCTTCATTATTCAAATCATTGATTTATAATATTTTTTAACTTTTGTTTCTATTAAAATGAAGAGCTATGAATTTGTTTCTCAAAAATAAATATAAGTAATCTACAAAAATTTATATGTTTAATACTTTAAAGACCCATTATTATTCTTAAATAAGATTAATTTTTATAAGATCAATATAAAAACTTAAAATAACTTGACTAGTTTTAAAGATTTGTTTCACTAGTCTAAAGATTTACTTATCAATTTTATCTAATCCTTCTCACTTATTTATTGTCAATCTAATACTTTTCTCTTCGATTCCCTTTTTTTCTTTCTTATAGAAACTTTCTATAGTTTCCAAATATTTCTTCTATTTTTTATTTTATGTTATTTATAATTGGTATTTATAGATTAAACATTTTAGTAAGTATTTTATTGTTATATTTTATTAACTATTTACAATATATATCATTTGTTTATAAAAGTTAAGTTTTTTTTTAATTAATTTATTTAATATTAATAACTTATTATTGATTAGTTTAAGAAGAAAAATTTTTTGTTGTGATTTTTTAAAGCTTTAAATTTAATGACTCTATTTTTTCTCTATATTGTTTTACTGTATTTACTAATAAATTGTTGTTCTATTATTTATATTTTTAATAAACTATCTAATTGAATCATTTAAGATCTTACCTTATCATTTATTTCTGTAATAATTTTTTCCATATCCTCTTTGGATCTTGCTATCCATGTTATATTATCTATGAATATGATAGCTACATACCTTGACTCTAGCTTTCTTTCAGTATTTCTCTTTAACTCTGGATTCCAAGCCACTGATATTTTATAGCCTTTTGTTTTATCATTCTAAATCTTGCACAATAAAGGATCATAGAATATTTTTCACATTAGTGATAAGATGGTTTTCCCTTAATCAATCTCATCTTTTGCTGTGATTACTTCAGTTAGATCCTTCTCAAATATAACTTTAAATTTTCAATTTCAAAATAGACTTATTATGATTTGAATAAAACCTTCTAATATCTTGATTCTATTCATTGCCTTGACTAACATATTCAGACTAATAATATCATATGCTTTTGTTGTGTCTTGGAAAAGTATTCATAACTTCTTTTTATATTCTCTTGCTTTTTCACAAATATTATTGAGAATTTGAATCAGTTCTGCTATACTTTCTTCTGATAATCCTATATAATTAGGTCCTCTCAGTATATTGTTAATCTTGTAGATATTTTCCAATCTATTTGTAAAGATTTTGATAAAAAATTTTTGTATGCCTTCTAGCAATATTATTGGTCTGGTATTGAGGAGTTCACATTTCCATAATTTTGGTTTTGCTATAAAATATATATGACTTTGCTTCCATCCTATCGGAGTAACTTTCCACCTTAGAAAGTAGTTAAGCATCTTTTAAGATATTCTTTTCCTTCTTGACCCAGTTTTTTTAGCATTTCGTAACTGATTTGTGATCTTTCTAGGCTTTATTATTGAGAAGTTCTTGAAGCATTTTGTATAATTCTTTTTGGGAGATTGGCTTCAGTAAGTCTTTATACCATCTTTTATTAATATAGCTTTTAGGATTGTATTCTTCTTTCCAATCTTATATAAGACTGTCAAAATTGGCATTTCATTTTTTGAATACCTCATAATAATATCTTTTTATTTCTCTTTCGATTTCTTCCTTCTTAGTAGTTATATATTTCTTTTCTTTATCTTTAACCTTGATTCTATCCAGTATTATTTTGACTCGCTCTATATCAGTCAAGGAGTTTACCATTCTCCTTTGATTACTATGTAAGTCATCATATATTTATTCTAAGGCTTTTTTGATAGCATTTCTTGTCTTTTTTGTCTCTGTATTCTGACAAATAAGTTTTAAGCCTTCTATTGCATCTTGTATATCCTTTTTTAATAGTTTTCATGGGATTTAGGAAATGCTATATTGGATACAATAGTTTTTGATCTGATGATTAGGGCTGAAGGTAGTGTTATGTTTCTTAATCACCTTGCTAAGGATTTGCAATTTGATTGAATCATGTGTACTTTCTGCCTTTTTAAAGAGTGCAAATAGTTGAAGGGCCCTTCAATACTTGATGAATTCAGATCCATGCCTATGATGTTTTTCTTAGAAAGCATATAGCTTCTTGGTTGTAAGCTTGTTATATGCTGCCCTACATATTTGTTCTTTGAAAGTCTTCCAGATCTTGTTTGCATGAGTTTTTTTTTTTATCATTCTCTAGTTCTTCTTTAAATAATGGATCCATTGTTATTCTGAGTTTGTGATTCAGGCTTTTACTGAATACCTTCCACTATTAAAGTGTTAACTTCTTTATATTGTTGAGCTATAAAATTTCACCATATGAACTCCCTAGTATCCAGGATGATCCCAGTACCTCAGATCAACATATCATGATCCTTTTAGTTACCTGAAAGTAAAGATCTTCCAGAACACTTCTGGAACATTTATAGTCGATTTTGTTATTAGCAAACTTAGCATAAAGTACTCTAGAATATTCTATAATCCTAGCTTATTACTTATAACTATTATTTTTGAAAGATATTTGAGTTTTGTTCAAAATAACATAGCTTAATAGTCTAGCGAAACTAATAGTATTATTATTATTATTATTTATCTTAGTTTATATT